GGTTCTGGACAACTTTATATGCCAACAAATACTATAATTTAGATGAAATGGACAAATTCTTCAATGACAAAAATTATTAAAACAGACTTAAGAAAAAGACCTAATTAGTTTTATAACTATTAAAGAAACTGAGGTCATATTTAGAAACTTTCCCATGCAGAAAATTCCCAACCCAGATGGTATGTTAAGTTCTATCAAACATTTAAGGAAGAAATAGCAATTTTACACAAACTCTTTTGGAAAGGGAGAAGGGAACATGTTCCAAACTCCATGAATTTTGAATACACTGACACTAAAACCAGACAAAAACATTTTAAGAAAGAAAAGACCACAGACCAGTAACTCTCATGAACACAGCTGTAAAAAATCCCTGACAATGCCAGGCATGGTGTGGCTCATGCCTGAAATCCCAGAACTGGGAGGCCAAGGTAGGTGGATCCCTTAAGCTCAGGAGTTTGAGACCAGCCTCAGCAAGAGCCAAGACCCCGGTCTACTCAAAATAGAAAAATAGCCAGGCACTGTGGAGGGTGCCTGTGGTCCCAGCTACTCAGGAGGCTGAGGCAGGAGGATCATTTGACCCCAGGAGTTTGAGGTTGCTGTGAGCTGTGACACCACAGCACTCTAGCCAGGGTGAAAGAGTGAGGCTGTTTCAAAATAACAACAACAAAAAAACCCAAACAAAGTACTAAGACGTCAAACCCAGCAATATATAATGAATTTATATAACCAGTAAATGGGATTTATCTTAGGAATAGACAGTTTAATAATTCAAAATCAATGTAATTCTCTACATAAAGAGAATAAAGGAGAAAAATCATGGTAATATCATTGTATGAAGAAAAAAACATTAGACAAAATTCAATATGTATTCATGATAGCCCATCGTGAACTGGAGCAGAACTTGCTCAGCCTGATAAAGGACATCGGCAAAAGCCCATAGCAAACATCACACTCAGTTGTGAAGACTTAATGCTTCCCCCTGAGACTGTGGACAGGGAGCCCCTGCTGTCTGTTCTTCCTTAACACTGTCCCTGCAGCTCTAGCTGGTATAGTAAGAGAAAAAGAAACTAAAGGCATAGAGATTAGAAAAGAAGCAAAACTGTTTTTATTTGCAGGTGATTTAATGGTGTACATAGAAAATCCTTTCAAAAATTACTGAAAAGCTACTAGAACCAATGACTGAGTTTAGTAAGGTCACAGTATGTACAAAAGCGGTATCAAAAATCATTACATGTCTATATATTACCAATCCACAACTGGAAGGTTAAATTTTAAAAGTAAGTTTACAATAGCATTAAAAATCATGAAAGAGTTAAATTAACAAAATATATATATTCAAAATTATAAAACTTTGATGAGAGAAAGATCTAAATCCAGGGAAAGCTATATCACATTCATCAATTTGAGGACTCGACATTGTTAAGATTTTTAAGTCCCTGTTATGGATGAATTATGTCCTCCCCTTGCCACAAGTGAGTATATATTGAGGCCCTAACTCCCAATGTCACTATTTGGAGATAAGTTCTTTAAGGAGAAAATTAAGGTTAAAGGACGTGGTAAGGCTGGAGCCCTGTTTTGACAGAACCAGTGTGCTTCTGAGGACACAGTGGGTTGGATGCGCAGAAGAAAGACCATGTGAGGACCGCAACAGTGGCCATCTGCAAGCCAGAGAGAAAAGACCACCCAGGAACCCTCCCGCTGTCTCCTCCAGAGCTTCAAGGAAACATTTCTGTGGTTGAAGTGTACAGCCTGTGGCACTCTGTTAAGGCAACCTGAGCAGACCTACAGGTACAGTCCCCATATTCACCTGTGAGTTCAGTGGAATTCCAATAAAATCCCAGCAGGCTTTTCATCTTCAGATATGGTGAGCTGATTCTAAAATTTGTATAGAAATACAAAGAACCTAGAATAACCAAAACAAAGGTGCTAACTTATTCAACAGGGAGTTTAACAAATGATTTTAGAACAGTAACATGGGGCCCAGGTGGGAAATGATCCTCTGGCTCATGCTCAGACCATACACAAAGTTAGCTGAAGGTGTCTTGCAGAGCTCAACACAAAATCCTAAAGTAAATGCTCTGAAAGATATAAGAGAAATATTATTGCAACCCTGGGATAGGTGAATATTTTTTAGAACACAGAAAAGCATTAGCCATGAAAAAATGAATTATAAGTTGAACCTCACTAAAATTAAAACCTCTGCTGATCAAAGGACACTGTCAACAAAGTAGAGGCTGAGCACATGGCTCACACGTGTAATCCTGTAATCCCGTAATCCCAACATCCAGGAGGCCAAGCAAAGAGGACTCCTTGAGATCAGGAGTTGGAGACCAGCCTGTGAGACTCCTGTCTCCACTAAAAATAGAAAAAATTAGCCAAACTTCATAGTGGGCACCTGTAGTCCCAGCTACTCGGGAGGCTGAGGCAGGGAGTATCTCTTAAGCCCAGGAGTTTGAGGTGGTTGTGAGCTATGACCCCACAGCACTCTACCTAGGGTACCAGAGCTAGACTGTCTCAAAAAAAATAAAAAGTGTAAAAAAATATACATATAAACAAAGAATTTGTAGATAAAGACAATGCAGGTGAAAGACTTGAACAGCTAAACGGTTGAATAGCCCAGTCAGCCCATCTGAAGCTCGACATTATTTGACTCCAGACAGAAGCACCTCACACACTGGAACAGGCAGCACGAAGAGTGAAGAGTTGACGGCATTAACCACCCACAATGGGCAGTGTGAAGGGTGGAGAGTGACCGTATCACCCACCCACGATGGCCAGTATGGAGGGTGAAGTGACGGCATCAACCCCCCACAACGGTCAGGGTGGAGAGTGATGGCATCAACCACCCACAAAGCTGTGGACAGCCTGGACCCACACATGGTGCTGGCGGCAGTGTGAACGGTATCGCCACTTTGGGAAAGTTAAACACAGCAACACTGTGACTCAGAAATTTTAATCCCAGAAAATTACTTCCAAAAATAGTGAAAATAATATCTACAAAATGGACTGTACTGAAATGTTTGTAACAGCTTTAGTCATATTAGCCCAAAACAGGGAACACCTAAATATTCATCAAGAGAGTAGATAGTGGATAAACCATGGTGCATGTAAACTCATCAGCCGCACAGAGCAGGTGACAGGGGCAGCAATGGGACTGAATGTCAAAAGCATCTGTTGAATGGAATGAGCCGGACACATAAGCACACTCTGATTTGACTGACACAAACGCAAATCCCAATAGTGATGGCAGAGCATTGTGGATGCCTGGAAGATAGGTGTGACTTCCTGGGTTCATGGGAACGTTTTACACCTGGTTACGTGTAGGTGTACATTTATAAAATGTATTGAGTATTTACTTAAGATAATGTACATTTTAGTGTATATAATTTTTACATGTAAGAGCACATTGAGATAACAATCGTAACCAATGGAATGTCTAAAGATTCCCTGTGCTCAGTGCTAGTGAGGATGTAGAGCAGTCAGGATTCCACCCACTTCAGGTGGGTACAGGCTGGTGCACTTGCAAACTGTCTTCGTCTGCTGTAGCCAAACCTGTGGCCAGCCTCATTCTTCCTAAATCTTTCCACAAAGAGAGGTATCCAGCAAAAGCCATGTAGGAAAGTGTTCGCAGCAGCTTATCTGCAAAGAACTCAGATGTCCACTCATTTGTAGAAACATGAGTGGCTGTGCTCACCCCTTGGGTGGGGCACTCACAGCTCTGAACAGAGCAGAAACTTGCCAGGCCAGGCACCAAGTGGAGAGAGGCCAGCCTAGGGATTCCATTTTTGTGGAGTTCAAGAACCAGGTGAGCCCTCTCTGGTGACTGATGGTTCGCAGAACACTGAGGGGGAGGCTAGTACACATGTGCACATGACATACAAGTCATTATGTGACCGCAGTATGTGAGCACTCCAGTATATTATGCTTCAACTGAACAGGGGCAAAAGGAACAGGATGCTGAGAAGACGCTACTCATGACAGCCCAGGCACATGAGACTGGCACTAGGTGTGCAGTCGGCTGAGGGTGCTGTGATTGGGTCCTGGGCACAGTTAGAGGGCATGGAAGGGCCGTTATGGACCTGCACCTCCATCACCGGGCCTTAGGGGTGGAGGAGGAGGGCACCAGGCCAGCCACAGCCCTGGCGGCATGTGGGCAACATGCACTGCCCAAGTTATAGGGAAACCCCATAGCAGAGCACAGGATGGTAGCCTGCAGACCATGCCTTCATTGGGACGTGGCCTCAGGGTGCCAAGGCCAGCAGGGGACATCCCAGATTCCTGCTTCAGCCAAGGCCTAGCTCTGGTGAGCACCCTCAGAGGAATGTGTGTAACTACCCTTGGGCCCCAGCAGCCTGGCAGGGCTGGAGCTGCCATGGCAGACCACATGAGGATGAGCCGAGGCTCAGGGGAGCAAAGCCTGCTACAGAATTGGAGAGCAGGGGAGTGGGGACAGGGCCCTGCAGAGAATGTGAATTGGTTAGCAAGGGTGCTGGCAGCCACGGCCCACCTCCAGCTCAGGACCCTAGCTACTGCCCAGTAACAGACAAGGACTGGGAGGACCCAGATTCTAGGGATGGAGTTGATGGAATTGTTCTCCAACCAGGGCCACACCCAGGGCTGTGCCTCCAGCCCCCATGAAGGCATTGGCTGGGTTGGCAGGATGAGCTCTGACCTCAGAACTCAAGACGCTAGCACCATCATCCCTCAGGGCAGCTCCCTAGGCTGCCTGGCTGGGCTGGGGTGGTCTCCAGCCGAACTCTGGTCCACTATGGCTGCATGTGGCAAACCCAGGCCCCACATGGCCACATCGACCAGGCGGAGGGGAACAGAGCACAACCCAAGGCAGCAGCCGCCTCACACAGAAGAATAAAAAGCCCTTTTATTAACATGTGTGACATTTACAGTTTATTAGCTAATCGACATCAACATGCAAAAATAAGCGCTAAATACAAACCTCTACAATATGGTTTTGTGTAAACTACAATGGTTCATTCGTTTTGAAAAGCCATTGGGACTCACTTCAACTGAACTATTAGTTTCTGTCATGAACAATACTTCCACTCTGGAGTTACAGAACCATCCAGCAAGGCCTCTGCAGAAAGTCGGTCCCACAGATTTCCACATGAATACATTCTCAGAACAAGGACTAAGGCGGCAGGAAAGGTGTGACGTTGAGCTATGCACTTACTGAGCCCCAGCACTGCCCATAGGCAAGGGCAGCCCTCTGAGCCAGCCCCCCTGCAGGCTGTGGCACTGGCGTTTGGCAGCAGCTCTGGAACGAAGTCACAAGGGAACCCTGTGGCACCAGGCAATTACCACCTCTCCCTGGCCATGCCAGGCCAACATGAGCTGGTGAAGGATCTGCCCTTCTCCAGTCTCAGCAGCAAGAAGGAGGGACTGGAGCCCTCAGGGAATCACAGTCCTACTTTGAAGTGCTCCAGGTGTTTGGGTCTGTATGGAGAGGAGATGCTTCCTTTAAAAGCAGAAAGTACTTTTCAGAAGCATCAGGTTGCTGATTTATGTTACAAAATCCCACCGATCAGAATGTTTTCAAGTACAAACTCATTAAGTCTCATTTCCTTTCTTCCTACGAGTATTTATTGTTGCTCACTGATCTTTGGTCGCAAGGAACAGAAGCGGCGCAGGCTGGGGCTCAGGAGGCCCCTAGGGCGTGGCCAAGCTGGGGCCTACATGATGTATACCTTCTCGGCTTGGGAGAAGTGGAAGACTTCTTTGGTTCTCGGGCAAACAACTTTATCATCTTGACGGATAGAAAGCAGAGACTGAAAAATGAGATCAGGAATGCATTAGAACAAACACAATACAGACTCGGGGTTCCCATGAAAAACCCACACAAGTAACCATCAGGGAACAAGCCTCCCATCATGCAAAGGTACTTCCTGAAGGCTCGCTTGTCCCCTGCCCTTCCACTCCTTCCCCACTTTGCATCAACAGCTAAGTGATGCCCAGGGACAGACAGGCTGCCCAACACTCACATTGTAGCCGTAGACGTAGCCGTTGGGCAGCATCATGGGCGGATTATTCTCGTTCATCACGTCGCCAGAAATCTTGCAGACCAGGCGGGAGTTGGCACAGTGTGCCATGGGCAGGGGCTGTGCCAGCTTGTTCAGGGACCGGCTGCACACAGGGCAGTCCGGGCTCTTGGAACTGCCGTCCTCCTTGTAGCACTGTCTGCACTGTGTTAAGGAAGAACTCGGGGACTCCCGGGGAACCCAGGGGGAGACAAGACCCACTGCAGCCACTCAAGCACCACACAAAAGACAAACACAGGATGAAGAAAATGCTCCATTCAATGGATAACAGCGTCCATGGAGCCCAATGGGATAAAGGGGAGTGAGAACTGCTCCACCTGAAGCCCTCCCATCCCCCACAACCTCTGATCAGGACAGGCAAGAGCTCCAAACCAGAGACACCTCTGGAACCTGGGAAAAGGCGGCATGAGCACAAGCTCCTCCGCAGGGAGTCCCTCAGGCGGGAAGAACGAGGAGCTGGGGCCCCAATGCAAAGCCCAAGGCAGCCAGGTCCCAGGTGTCATTCTGGGACGATCACTGCCTTATAGGTAGGCCCTTGACTGTCACATGAGGGGCAGGGTTGGTCAGAGCAGGGGGCAAAAACAGTCCCAGGAGGGGCGGGGACAGTCCCAGGAGGGGCAGAGACAGAGGCAGTCCCAGGAGAGGCAGGGGCAGTCCTGGGAGGGGGCAGAGGCAAGGAAAGTCCTGGGAGGGGCAGGGACAGTCCTGGGAATGGCAGGGGCAGAGACAGTCCCTAAAGGGGCAGGGACAGTCCCAGGAGGGGCAGAGTCCCCTTGACAGGCCTGGAGTCCTACCCCAAGGTGTCCTGCCATGGTGTCAGCACTGGACACTGGTACTGAGAGATGGTGACTAGCAGGTCAAAGTCAGAGCGTAGGGTCTGCTCGTGCCACAGTGAGGGCGCAGCTCTGGAAGGGCCTGACACTCATGCCTGAGGGAGCTACTAGACCCAGAGAACCATGGAGTCTGTGCAGCCTCACCTATGAGCTAACTAGAGGAGGGAGTACTGTCCAGCATGGCCAGGGTCCAGACGTGAAACTGTGCAGGGCACCCAGGACCAGATAGGAAACACCAACAGATCAGCACTCCAGCTGTCGGAACACATGGGGATACCTGCTTTCAGGCTCACACAGGGCTCCTGCAGGGACAGCTGAGACTACAACAGACAACATGGACCAGGTGCTCAGACCTTCCCAGGGGTCTGGGCACCCCCCCCAATATTGTGCAGGCCCATGGTGGGAGTCAGGAGCACTCTACAGAGGGGCACATCACATTTCCAGAGGATAAGGAGAGGTGCAGGGTGCGTCTTAAAATTCCCTGAAGACAAGAGCCTCAGGTGGAGAGGGCAGTGGGAGGATACGGTGTCTTAATTGCGGAGAGGCCAGCCTGCAGTGTGAGGGTAAACACTGAGCTGTTGCCCAACTGGTGTAGGCGATAGTTGTCGTACCGGAACTGTTGGATCAGCATTCGCCACCGGGCCGGGTCCAGGAGGTCCTGAAAGACAGAGCAGAAGGTGCTGGGCCCAGGGTGTGTTTGTGTGTGGCTGGTGGGTTGCAGTGGTGTCCTTGGCTCCCAGTGCCCCAAGCACATGCTGCCCTGTGTGGACATGTTCCTAACATCCGTGTGTGCCTTCACCTGTGGTAAATGGTTCCAACAGTCTCGAATAGGTGGTTCCTATGGCCTTGGAACAAAACAGACTCAGTGAGCTAGAGGGACAGCCTGCAGAGTGTCAGAGCACCAGAGCATAGGGCCAAAGGCAAACACCTGCTTCAGGGAAATCTGCCAAACGGAAAATAGTCACTGTACCCAGGGTCAGTGCCACAGAACAGAAAACTAACCTTAATTAACATCTGCCCCTAAGAAATCTTAGGCTCCGATTCGGTACGTGCGAGTGAGCAGGGACAGGCAGGTGGGGACAGTGTGGGCAGGTATAGTGTGAGCAGGAACATAGGCAGAGAGGAGAGGAGCCTTCTGGTGGGAGTTGTTGCCAGGGATGCTTCAAGCCATTTAGTGTGAGGAAAATATCATACTTCACTCCAACGTTTTAAAAGACTGCTTTTAGGCTCAGTGCCTGTGGCTCAAGCGGCTAAGGCGCCAGCCACATACACCTGAGCAGGCGGGTTTGAATCCAGCCTGGGCCCACCAAACAACAATGACGGCTGCAACCAAAAAATAGACCGGCATTGTGGCGGGCGCCCACAGTCCCAGCTACTTGGAAGGCTGAGGCGAGAGAATTGCTTGAGCCCAAGAGTTTGAGGTTGCTGTGAGCTGTGACACCACAACACTCTATCCAGGGCGACAGCTTGAGGCTTTGTCTCAAAAAAAAAAAAAAAAAAAGCAAACCTGCTTTTAATCTTATTTTTAACAAAGCAAAGTCCACACAGGATTAAACCTTAGTTCAGAAGTTTCTCCGCAGACAGCAGCAGCTCCTGACACTCAAGCTTAGGGCTGGGGCTCTGAACACAGCGCCTCCCCCCCGTTTCTCCCTTAAACACCAGACAGGGCCTCACCTCCTGTGGGGAGGCTGAGAGCCTCCTGAGCATGCTGGTTCCAAGACATGGCCCTGTCTCACTCTCTGTGAGTTTCCTGTACACTAAATGGCCTGTTCCCTAAGCCAGGGTGTTTCCATGTATGTCCTGGTGTTTTCCCTTTGGCCACTCACAACTAAGGAGCCTGGTGGGTCATGGGCTGGGAGTTGTGCTGGGGAACCTCTTGCAGAGGGGTAGCTTTGCCCAGGGGGTCAGCTCTGCCCAGAGGACGGCTCTGCAGATCTGCCTCCCTCTTTGCTGCCAGTCCAGGAGGAGAGACACACTGCACACACCCACTAAACCAGAAGGAGTCGGCCTTTCTTACATTTCTAACAAAATCGTCTCCAGAACAAGAAGAGAAATACAAGATGCTGGTTTAAGATCTCAGAAGTTTAGACTCAACACCTAGAGAGCCTCGTGACTGGTAAGCGTATTGTAAGACATCCCAAACACTCGATCCATGTGAATGCAGTCAGGGCAGAGAGTGCTCAGCAGCACACCTCCCCCCACACACACCACATCCAGGCAGTGGCGCTGGGAGTGATCAAGGCTCTGCTAGCAACCCTAGGTGCTGGTACTGATACACAGACACTGTGGGGGCTGCAGGGCAAACACCCTGCTTTGGACAGAGACAACTTTGAGGTCCAAAGAACAAACTGTGCCGCCTCCAGGGACTGAAGGCTTCACCACCAGGCACCACAGCTCCTGCGACTATGTGTGTGCCCAGCAGGCCAGCAGCCAAGGCCCCACTTGGTCGGGCTGGATCAAAACATAGGCCACCAGGACAATGATGGTGCGTGACCACATCCTCATGAGACTCCCACATCAATCCACAAAGTCAAGGAACGGAGGACCATCCACAGTGGGCTGAGCTGAGACAGAAGACCAGTGACCCCAAGGCAGAGGAGGAAGAGCAAGCCCAGTGGGGGACAAAAAGGGCAGACCCAGCATGAGGCCCCACTGGTGACCACAGGGATTCGGATGTACCAACATTTGTGGATAAAATATAAAACCCCAGTGAGAGACACACAGAAGCCCACCCAGGCTAACATCTGAGTAAGGGGCTGCAGAGAGAAAGAACAGAGCAACAGCAAAGGTGAGAGACCCTCTCCCCACCTCAGACACACTTCCTCGGCTGAGAGCTCCAGGAACCTCTCAAGAGTCAAATTCCTGATCTATAAATGATCATAAGACAGAAAATGCAGGCCTAGCAAGCCCCTTCCTGGTGCAGCAGGATGCCCACACACATACCCCACAAAGACACCTGAGGTTCAGCCAGCGCAGACGTTACCTTGTATGGGGAGATGTGTGTGTCTGGCGGGAAGGCCAGCATGCCCATGACCTGGCGGACCTCGTCCAGCTGGCTCCCTTCAGCCTGACTGAAGTGCTTTCTTGCATGTCTAAAAAACAACATTTGGCATGTTTAAGTTTACATTTTCCAATTTTCGAGTCAAGCCCAGGTAGAGAGCAAGCATCTCATCCAAATGGGCCTGCAGGGACCTGGGCCTGGCAGAGCAGCACAGCAGGACACCCACCCTGAGCCCTGTAAAGTGACAGGGGTTTACAAGGAATTGAACCCCTAATGCTCACCCCAAGGCCCCAGGGTGCCAGGGTCCCACCCCAGGGGCAGGGTCCATTAAGACCTATGGATTTGGTGGCAGCTGACTGAAGAAATGTAAAGTTAGAAATGAGAAGAGACAAACAGACAAAACAACTGAAAAGACAAACAGAACAGACGATTTTCAAAGGTGGGAGTACAGGGGACCTCTGCCTGTTTGTGAGGTTCCAGTGGGTGGCCTGAGTGTTAGTTCCACTCAGCTTTTTTTTTTTTTTGAGACAGAGCCTCAAGCTGTCCCCCTGGGTAGAGTGCCGTGGCGTTACAGCTCACAGCAACCTCCAACTCCTGGGCTCAAGCGAGTCTCTTGCCTCTGCCTCCCAAGTAGCTGGGACCACAGGCACCCGCCACAACGCCCGGCTATTTTTTGGTTGCAGCCGTCATTGTTGTTTGGCGGGTCCGGGCTGGGGATTCGAACCCGCCACCTTAGGTGTACGTGGCTGGCGCCTTAGCCAGTTGAGCTATAGGCGCCGAGCCCCACTCAGCTTTTACTGACAGCTATTTGCTCATTAACCCAGAGGGTAAGCTGAGAAAGGGAACAAAGATGTCAGCAGTTTCTCTGAGTAAGCATCAGCTTCTATTATTTCTATAATCATTAACTTTAAGGGTCTGAGCAGTCTTGAGAAATCCGGAACTTGAGCCTTATGTGGGGGCAGCCTCCTGTCTGTGGTCACACACAGATTCATAGGAAGGTGTTAATACCTGCTAGTTCACTATGGAGTAAAACACCACAGGTGTCAATATCCTCTGAATAATTGGTGGGAGAGAGGAATTTTCATCTCATCACCACCACAAAGGGTTTTCCTTTGTGATAAGGGATATTAGCCCCCTACCCCTATTTCAGGGCTGGAGCTGGTCCCTTGATCTCTGCCCCAGCCAAATGTAAATCTCCACAATGGCTAATTTGCTTTGACTGTAAACTAGGCAGGGGACAGCCTAGTTAATGTTTCTTGCTAGGCCTGGCACACAGCATATTCTGTGGCCTTTATTTCTTCAGAGTGTTTACAGATCCAGCAGGGGTGATTGCAAGCTGTATCTCCAACAGGCCAGGCTTCTAGGAAAAGCAGGAAACTTGCTCAGATAAGAAATTTATCAACAGCTGCTTTAAAGTAAACTAGCTGACTTCCCTTTGTTCGGGACAGTCTCATGCTGTTGCCCTGGGTAGAGTACCGTGGCGTCACAGCTCACAGCAACCTCAAGCTCTTGAGCTTAAGCGATTCTCCTGCCTCAGCCTCCCAAGTAGCTGGGACTACATTCTCTTGCCACAACACCCAACTATTTTTCTGTTGTAGTTGTCTTTATTGTTTTTAGCAGGTCAGCTGGGTTTTAACCTGCCAGACTGGGTGTATGTGGCCGGCACCCTAAACACTCAGCTACAGGCACCAAGCCTTCCTTCTTTTTTTATTCTACCCTTTTTCTGGGATTGTTTTCCCTTGTCAAGAATGGGGTCCCCATTTTGCCTGAACAGGTCCCAGTACTAACCCCACAGAACAGAGGCCTCAGCCCTCCCACCCACCACACACTTGCAGACGCTCCCAGGCCAGGTCTTGCCCAGCTGGGAGACTAAGGCAGAAAAGGACAGTGCCCTGGAACCATGCCAGCACCTGCTTGCCTCCTCATGTGCTGGCCACCCTAAAAGGGCTCTCTCTGGGCAAGGCCATTGGGACCTGGTGGTCACCACTCTGTGGCAATCCCAAGAACGCCTGCCATGTTCTCTGAGCTTAGAGCTCTCCCCACCAAATGGCCCCTCTGCCCAGGGTATGGGGTCAACACAGCACAACCAGGCCCACGTCCACATGAGCCGGTTAGCAATAGGGTGGCACGGGACGAGACCAAGCCCCGAGGTGCCAGAGAATAAGTGTGTGGCTACAGACTGTAGCCCACACTGGGGCCAAGCAGCCTGAAGGACAGCAAGGTAGCCATGAGATGGAAGCACCAATAGGGTAGCAGAGGGGCTG